TGTATTCCCCATTTCCTTCCGCTCTCATTCGATGGCTGCGGGGGTGTTGAAGCGTGAAAACGATCGCTTTTTATTTATCTCGGGGCATATTGATCCTGGACCGAAGGTCGAATACTAATTATGCGAATGTACATATCATGCATTTTACTTTGTGGCTATTCGTTTCTTTCAAGTAGCCGTAGAGCTCATCACGAACCAGGCGAAAGGACAACGAAGGTTTCATGTTGCATGTGAATTAAATGAATAATAGGTAAATATTTCATATTTGTTTTGTTTTCTTTTTTTTTATAATATATATATTTACAGGCAGAGGATTTCCCTGCAGGCATTTTTCGGCGCACCCTTCAGACAGTTCCGCAACGCAGAAAAGTGCTTTTCCTGCAGTGCTGACAGTCCGAGAAGCTCGCTACGTGAGGTCCCCAAAAGATCCGTCATCTCGTTTGGTAAACTGGCTTCAAGAATTTTTTATTTATTAAGTTTTATAATTTGTCTGTCAGAGCAAAGCGATCCCGTACTTTCAGGTCTTAAAAGGTTTCGGGCCGTTAAAACGAAAATTGGGTGGACTGGAATCGGGGAAATAAGGAAATGCAATCCGTTTCGAGTTCCTGCGTTAAAGTGACAGCGAATCGCGAGTCCAGGAGCTAGTATGTAAAAATGCGTTCCAATTCCTGTTTTGTCATTTCTCACATCCGCCAATTTGGCATCCTTCGTGCGGGTGAATGTGAAGTCGTTGAGGGGTTACGAAGGAGAGGGAAGAGGGTAATTGGTAAGTCGCAAGATCGCATTCGCTTGACAAGATTATCGAAGAGGCATGTTTCGTGGCATCGAAACATGGAGGGACGGGAAATTTTTTAGGGCTTTCTTAGTTCCGTTTTCGGCAGCCAAAAATATGTAAACCCAGAGAGACAGACATGTTTCACCCGTGGAATAATATCGAACGGGAGAAAGTGACTTGGTATCGTCGCAAGAGAGCTTGTAGCGAACTTCAAAACTAAGAGAAAATTCTCAACCATCGATTACATTTTGTAGGTTTGTGAGAGTGGAAGGAAATCGTTCAGCAGATAGTCGCAAAACCGAGCAGTTCCCGTTTTGTCACACTCACAAGCTCAATGAAGGCATCATGGCCAAATTCAGATGCACAGCGTGGCCGAGAGATTCTGTTTCTTCAGGGGGATCGAAGAGGATCCATGGATCCCCCGAAAATTCCTACAACGGTACCTAATGAGATAATAAGCTCTTAGTTTTTTTTTTATCCACGTAGCACAATTCAGCGATCGATGTTCTATTCGCTGGACCCATTTTCTTCCCCTTTTCAAAATTAGAAGTTATCTCTCCGAACGAAGCGCGGCATACTTCGGTACATACACTGCTGTCCCCTATATCTCGTCGACGATGGGACCAAAGGATGCTGTGCAATTTGGAAGGTATATTCAGATGAGCAAGATTTCGCCTTTTTTCTCAAGCTGAAGAGCGATAATCGAAGGCTTTTCGCTTTTCCTCTGGGGAGCTGAGACTCCAAGCTACCTGGCGCAAAGTCCAACATTTCCGCCTTCCTCATTCAGCAGTTTAAAAAAAAGGGAGAATTCGGGCAATTCTGAAAATGTTAAAAAATTACACTTCCCACACGGCACAAACACATCCCAGAGATATGCATTATTTTCGCGGGCATCTCAGCGATATCGAAATCGGCTGCCTTTCTTTCTGAAACGGGCTTATTTCCCACCAAGCAGGACGACCCTTTATTTTTTTTTTACGATGTCTCTTCTTGCTATTCTGGCACTACCCAGTCTTAAATTCTAGACCAATTAGAGAATGATATAGGTTTTCCCGACGAATTTCGGCAAAAGTCCATTCAAATTCGGCTGCGGCCGTTTCAATTTCGACAATGCAAGGGAATCTTTTGTTTTTGGTAATTAATATGAGTATGAGGAATAGGGAAGGAAAGGGGACAAATGCAAGGGGTGTTTTGTGGCGAATAATCATTATTTCATTATGCAAAGGAAAACACATGGGCATCGACATTGATTCTACCCATCGATTTGTTCTCTCCTTAGGCATCTGATCTAGTACGTTTGTGCATGGCGAGACAACGCAAAGCACTTCTGATGGGCTATTTGGGCATGAATCTGTTGGATTCAAGAAAGGCGAATATGGCGGCAGAAACTTCACGTGAACGTTAGGAAAGTCATCCGGAACCGAGGCTCGTTTGTGGGGTCAAGCATTATCTATGACAAACTGAAACCGAATATTCGAAATCGGCTGCACCTTGCTGTGAGTCCTCCACGTAGGATGCGTTCGTGTTCGTTTCCGTGCTTGGAATAATCAAAGGAAGAACAGGAACGCGTCACATCGTTGACGCTTCAGGAATTCTTTGAGGAGCTTCTGAGGCATGTACACATGATTTCGCCCCCAGATCATCCAGTTTATGTCATCATGGATAATGGCTAGGCCCCACAAACGAGCCTCTGCCCCAGATGACTTTCCTAACGTTTCCTGCCGGCTTATTCTCCTTTCTCGAATCCGGCCGAACACGCCCACTCTGCATATGAGGCAGCTGCCAAACGTGAGGTGTACCTTCCTGAAACACAGGTGGAACTTGGACGACGAAGACCGGAACAAAACTTGCAGCAAAGTCGGACGGAGAAGCTGCTCGAAATAGGAGAGGCATCAGTTGGGCAAATAACCCATTAGAAGGGCTATGCGTGGTTTTGCCATGCACAAACATACTTGATCAGATTCCAAAAGATGAGAACGGATCGATGGATAGAATCAGCGTCAATGTCCATGTGTTTTCCTTTGCATAATAAAATAATTATTATTCGCTGAAGATACCCTATGCGTTTGTGCTCCTTCCTTCCCTATTCCAAAAACAAGATATTCCCTTGTGCTGCCGAAATTGAAACGGCGAATGCTGAAATCCAAAGTCACCTGCCGAAATTCGTCGGGGAAAACCTATAGTAAAGATGGAGGGAAATTATTTAGTTGTAATGCTTATATTGCAATGCAATATAGGAGGCACATATTTATAAGGTAAAATTTAATTATTTTATGAGATATCGCCCAATTTGACAGACGAGATAAGTAGGCCCTACTGCTCTCAAGCTGAAGCATGGGCTCAGATTTCAAACCAGGATAGTGGTATCTAGACATGCCGATCAGATATAATTTGTGAGAATATGACGGAATAAAGTAAAAGTATAACCTCAAAATTGTCTCCTTCCTCGGTGGCAGTTTTATACCTGATATCAAGTATGAAAATCATTACTTCTCTTCTGTACAAATCAAGTTGATAACATTGATTTTAAAAAATGTCAGGACTGTACTCGCTCGAACGAAGGTTAAGGAGGGGCGGAAATGTTGGACTTTGCGCCAGGTAGCTTGGAGTCTCAGCTCCCCAGAGGAAAAGCGAAAAGCCTTCGATTATCGCTCTTCAGCTTGAGAAAAAAAGGAACCTCGTCTCCTTCGGTGAAGGGAACCTACATTACCGTTTTTAGATCACAGTCAGCGACAAGAATTCAAGAGTCCATCAGAGTAACGGACTCCGAGATCAGACGACCTCGACACGTGATATCGAAATGGGCGAAATCGCCTCTTGATGTCACTAACTATCTTGACTCTTGAGGAGATCAGGGCATACGGGAAACATCTACCGTCAAAATTATGTACTTTTCTGAAGGTGACAAAGACACCGAAGATGTTTAAATGACGTAAAAAAAAAGGATTTTCCGAAGAAATCCTTTTCGAGACGTTGGAAACGGTCGGACTGATGATGTCCTTAGGATGTCCATAATGACCTTGAGGACAAGTCGTCCAGTTGGGGACATCCCTGGGATGTCACCGTGAGTGTGGGATTCGCCCTTTTTATCAGATAGTCAACGATATCCCTCTCAGAGGATTCGTCTGATCTCGGAGTCCGTTACTCTGATGGACTCTTGAATTCTTGTCGCTGACTGTGATCTAAAAACGGTAATGTAGGTTCCCTTCACCGAAGGAGACGAGGTTCCACCTCATTTGCGTTGACAGGCCTGCGCTCTGATGAGACTGCCGCTTTCAAGAAAAGAGACTCGTTCCCATATGTGAACACCTTCGTTCAAAACTGTTACGATACGATGTGATGCGACGAGCTACAAGGCGCAAGAGGCTGAATGCCAACTAATTAATGTGACTTCGCTCTTTTATCATAGATAACTCTTCCCCCATCTGAACCACACATCCACCACCTCGTCCAAGATCCAAGTACCTCAAACCTTGAGAGACTCAATTTGGTCTGGGTGGTTACTCAGGGGATGCGCTCCGATTTGGCCTAAACCACAAGGGTTACCACATCCTCAGACGAGGGTGATACTCGCCCGGGAGTCTCCTTTTTTTTTTTTTTTTTTTTTTTTTTTTTTTTCTTAAGGCTTTGTCATCACATTTACCTTTTCCCTACATTTTGATGCCTATGTGATGAATAACCCAAAATGAAGTCAACTCAAATTAATGCAAAATCAAGTGTCCATCTGGAAGCTGTGTATAATCATTTTTGTGCACTTTTTTTTTACAAACCCTTGACCTTGGCACGAGACGTTTTCATGGGCGAAAATGCCTCTTGACGTCCCTATCCGAACCTTGAGCTGGTGCTTGCATTCGAAAATAAATACCTGACTTGCCTGATTTCGAACCCCTACATTTCCACACAGAAGAAGTCTGACCCACATGAGAAACACTGTGCCTATAGCACTTTCCTAATTGTCCTCTTACATCGTAATCTGATGATCATGGCAGAATCAAGTGGATATACTACACTGTGGAATACTAGGATTCACAGGAATTGTTTGCATCAGAGCGAAATCTAGAAGAATTTAGGAAAATTTTCTGAGGTGTTCACGTGGAATAATCTGGCAACACTAGTTGCAATCAGATGGGTGCTCCCTGGGTCTAAGGTCGGGACGGATCCAAGTCTCTCATAATACGAAATAGTGAAAGGCCAAGGCCTGCATGGAACGGATATCTCTGGCACAATTTCGTTTCCCGTATTTACAAAGGGATGCTGTTATTATGTACTTGTGAGAAGGAATGCTGTAGGATGAGAATGGAATGTATCGAATGTTAGGCCTAGGCCACTTCCCCGTCAATTCCCGGCAAGAAGCACATAACTTGGTCAGATTTGAATCTCTTACCCGCCTGGGGAATTATTTGATTGATCAGAATTGTTATAATAATTTCTATTGAGAACTGGCTTATCAGAGAAGGCAAAATACTGCTTCCAGGCGTTCACAGCAAAAATTCACAATAGTACAGTCCATTGTGATCCAATATTCCTGTTCGTTACTGTGCTTTTATTTTAAAATTAATTACTTGAGGTGATAATGATTTGGCCTGCCACTGTAACTCATATGTTTAGAGGCTTCAAATTACTTATATGGTGGAATATAGGGAGAGTTGGATGTTGACATGAAATTTATTCAGAGTACATGCTTCTATGTCTGATTTCTGAAATATACATGAGAGAAATGCAATCTGACTTGGTGCGCTCAATTTTAAATGAATGAGCACGATATTGGAAGTTTTACAAACCTTAACTAATGTTCTGGTATGATGAGAAGTTCTGTGGATGTCTAAGCTAGGGTGACCAGACATCCAGCTTTTATTAGGATAGTCTCAATTTGAAATTTCCTTTCCATTCTGATGTCTTAGCTATTCCACATTGCAAGGACTAACATTTGGGCATTTTCAAGAAAATTTCCTAATTTTTCATGAAAAAAACTGGTCACCCTAATTTAGGCTGAACCTGGACACATTATTACTCACATTGAAGCCTAAGATATGAAAGCAAAAAAATGAACCTCAGAGATCCCATGGTTGAAGAGAAAACAGTTGTCATCTTGTCATGTTCTGTCATAGCTTTTGATGTCTTTTTGTCAGCTATTGTTCACACAGAGAAAATTTTACATTAATCTTTCTGATTCATCCCTTTCAAGGACCCTTGGATGGCTGTGAGTTTAGGGACCATTGCTTAAGTGGATGAAGGAATGTCATTGCTCAAACTCAGAAGGTACCAATAATGGTTTGTGGTTTTTGCTCCTTTTGGCCAATATGAATAGATCTCCATTCAGCTGTTCCATTGGCTATCATTGTGATCATGATAGAATGGCTTTACTTAGATGAAAATAAAAAGAAGATATTATTTATGAAAGTGCCATCCTTCATACAAAATTTGACTTTGTCCCCTGAAGGTATTGCCCCTTGATTATCCATTCAGAAATACCTTGAGTGTGTATGATTTAATATTAACGGGTGAATTTTTCAAATGCCTTTCATATTAGGTTGCAAGGGCACAAATTCAGGATTACCATAATAGAGGATGCAAATTCACTATTAGTAAGCAGTGCTATTGACTTTTCTAATTCTCCAGAATTGGATAGCTATTACCAAATATTCAAGAAAAGTGTTGAATCTCATTCATTCCATCTTCTTCTCTTACTATTCTAACTTCTGTCATTTTCTGTTCACTTATCAATGAAATTATATGAACTTCTTGCAGGTTCAGTGAGACAGAACTTGAAGGCCAAAACCATGTCCAACAAGTATAGTTTGAAGTGGAATTCCCATCATGAAGAAACATTCCAAACCTTTGATTATCTCCGTCAAAGGGATATGTTTGTGGATGTGACTCTTTCCTGCTATGGACAGTTCTTGAAGGCCCACAAGCTTGTACTATGTGCAGGGAGTGGATATTTTGAGCGAGCCCTTAGCAAGGATGGACCAGGGATGCCTACCATTCACTTCTATGGAGTGGAAATACATTTGCTCAAGCTCCTTTTGGAGTTCATGTATTGTGGAGAAGTTGAAGTTCCAGCTCAGGACCTTGAAAAATTCATTGAATTGGCTGAAAATCTTGAGGTGAAGGGATTGAAAGGAGATAAATCAAAGGGGAGTTTATCACAAAGTGTTGGTGGGAACTCTATCCCTGTATCTGATGTTCAAGATGCTTTGGCACATAAAAGGAAGAGTACTATCCCTGTGTATCAAGATCTCAATGAACAACTACTTCAACCAGCAAAAATTCCACGTGCTCAACCTTCCATGCCACGTGGTAGGCAACAGTTTGGTGGACCCCACTCTCAGCAGCCAAAGCCTATACCGGTATGTGTAATTTAGAACTGTGGTGCTTCTTTCTTTCAGGCTGAACTAATGTCTAACATAACATCATAGACATGATCAGAGGCAAAATCTCGAGTAAATCTGAAACTTCTGCTTTGTTTGAATCTCTGATCTGACAATATACTGTACATGACATCAATAGACTTTCTTTCCATATGACCAATCAGTGATGTGACATCCTGAGTAGCAGCATACTGTTTTAAACATGTGATTGAAATGTAATGGCCTTGCCATTTGCCTACTGAGCAAATGCAGCTGGATTAGGCTCGATTTAGATTTTGAGTTAAATCAAGCATGATCCATGTTAATATGAAATGAGTCACTTGAGTTTAATCATCATCAGCCATTTTCAATCCACTGCTGGATGAAGGCCTCTTCCATTTTGTGCCAAAGTACTTTGTCTTGAGCTTTTCTGTTCCATGTTTCTTTTCCTTTCTTAACTATTTCATCTTTCCATCACAATTTCGGTCTTCCCTGTTCCTTGTTGCCCCTCTTGGATTCAGTGATTATCTTTGTCCATCTTCCATCTATTTTTCGGGCAAGGTGCCCTGCCCATTTCGATTTTCCATGCTTTATCTTCACCATAACACCTTGTATGATATTGGCTTTGTTGGTCAAAATGAAGTCAATTTCATTTTTTGTTTGTCCATTCGGACTCTTCCATGTCCACATCCTGGAATGTTTCTTTTTAAAGAAGGAGTTCATTATCTTGAAGTTGTTAAATATCGAATCATAGTGGGTAATTATCTTTTCATTATCTCCTAGAGCTATTATTTTATTTATTACTATTTTTTTAATATATAGTTGGTACAATGTTGACAACTGGTAATAGTGATTCTTCCATAAGTAAGAAGAATAGAGAATTCATTTTTTTATTATTTCCTGGTTACTTGTAGATCAGTGCTGGATACAAGCAAGAAGGGGTTGGGATGTTCCTCTTTTTAAAGCAGGCTAGAAAAAGAGCTGAACTCAAAACTAACAGATTTAAAAACTTGTTCTTTTCTCATGGTATCATGTATGCCCCCTATAACCCTTTTAATGTTTATATTTTGCATGTGCAACTCTAGAACCTTTATCTACCTTTGCCCATCTTTATCTCCAGAACCTTTATCCAGATCTTTATTTATGCACTGCCTAATGAGCATAGTGTAAGATCTCATGAACCATCAACCTCTTCATCAAATACTAACTGTATTTCTTACCATAGTTATTGCCAAAAACTTAAGGTGGCAGTGTCTTGACATCCCTGTATATAATTTGGTATTGTGACATCCTGATGCTTGGCATAGCCTTAATAGATACTACTCTAGACCTATGGCTAGTCTGAACTGTAAAAAATGTCTCAAATGACCTTGAAATGTGAAGTGAAGCTGAAACGCTCAGTTTCATGAGATTATTGAGAATTGCACTCTGACCACATTGCCAACCATTTTGTTGGTGTTGTCATAATGCAGGCTTTGTCATCACATTTACCTTTTCCCTACATTTTGATGCCTATGTGATGAATAACCCAAAATGAAGTCAACTCAAATTAATGCAAAATCAAGTGTCCATCTGGAAGCTGTGTATAATCATTTTTAATATAGTATCTGAATCAGTCTCATGCCTCCAATGTGGAAGAGACACAATGTTGGTTTTATTTATTTTATAAGTTGGTATTACATATACTGCAAATGGCCCTGCTCAGTTGTGGATATTTGCTCAAAGAATTCTGATATTTGGAGGAAATAAATTATTTCACATCTAAAAACAAAAAGATCCCAATCATATTCACCCAGTTGGTCAATTACCAGGGATTATGGTGGAATTAGTCTGGAGTTGGGATAAGCAATAGATCTCTTCCTATAGCCATTTCCAAGGTCCAATTCTTGAAAAAGTAATCTCTGTCCATTCCCATGTTGCAGGTTCCATCCTCATCTCCAAACTGCCAGAGTCAAGCTGAACCAGGCACAAGTGCATCAGCTGATGACATGTTGATAAAGGAAGAAAGAGAAGAGGGTCAAATGAATCATGCCCATGATTTGATGGCTCCAAATTTAGCTGCTCCTGTAGGTTTTAGGTCTTCATGTTGGTTATAACCATAAGTATTAAGTACTTCATTATATATTTTCTCCTTTTTTGCATATTTATTTTTATGTGTGCCTCATAGGAAAAGGGTGATTGGGATGATCAAGCCCAAGCTTCATATGTTCCTGAGGTGATGGAAGATGAGCCAGAAGCACCAATAAATATCCCTCCAGAAGTTGATCCACAGGTTAGTGCACACATCCTTCTATGAGCTAGATTTGCAGTGATTCAATCACTTTCAGTGATCATTATTTATTCAATCTGTTCATTGATGGAAAACTCATTGAGCTGCAGAGATGTACTCATCCTCGAAATAAGGCATATGTTTCATGAAGGTATGTGTTATGAAAGTAATGTTGAGTCCATGGCCTACAACATTCACATCACAACTTCTTGTTGCATGTGGTAACAGTACTTCAAAATGGATTCCACCTTAGTGAATTTAGTCTTACAAATCTGATATCATTCCATCCCTGTTTAAATCTTGTGCAGACTTTTACACATGAACCTGTTCACTCACATTTATTTATGGCTAATGTATTTTCGCTTCAGATTAAGTATTATTTACAGGCCTCTTGGACAGAGGCAGTGTAATTTAATCTATATATAGTATGGGATGGATGTCGAAAGGGATGTGTCAGAATGGCTCAATGAGGGTGATGAATTTGGTGTGGGTTGTTAGGGTGGTAGGCAGTGACTCAAAGCATAGTCTTTTCCTATAAGACTACCATCTTGGAATACCATAATGGTGTTTTTCATGTGAAACACATGAAAGAATTTGTTGGGTGCATCATTCCTCCACAAGCTCCTAGGGCTTGTTTGCTACAGACCAAAAATAGCCTATTATGACTTCAGGCTTTAGAGAGAGATTTTATTTTAGTATACTATGCATTGGAGATAGGACTTCCTATCAACTTTTCTAATTGGTAATGCTTTTCTGCTAGGCATGTTCCTATTTTCCATCCTCATTGCCCAAAGTGACATACATGCAGGCAGTTCTCTCAAATTTGTGGTTTTATTTTTATTAGCTGATTGCTCAAATATTACTTGCCTCTTGCATATTGGTCTCATGTAGTGAAAAGCCACCAGGGCACATCCCCTAATGACCATTCTTCAATATCAGGTGAAGTAATAATGGTCCTTGAGCATATATAGTTGAGGCATATTCCCAGGGAAAATATCCATTAGACTGTAATGTGTTTATATTCCACATGATGAAGCAGCAAATCACTGGCATGAGATCTTTCCTTGACTCCTTGTCTGTGCAAAGGTAGACTGGGTATTGTCTATATTATTGAATGATATGCTCAAGTATAAACGGTCTGATGAATGGGAGAAAGTGGAAATGACAAGTTTGTCTCATCAGTAGTATATAAGAGTAGCTGTGAATAGATTACTCTAGCTTGTCGTTTTTGGTGAAGGTGCCTACTGACCCTATGAGGAAGGTCAATGAAGCTTTATGAAGGGTTGTTTCATGACCCCTTATTTATGGTACTTTTCATTGGTTAAAAAATTGGACAAAGTTGTTTGTTGGTGAACTTTCCTGTGTTTTCATTTACAAGACAAATATCTGACCCCTCTCCAGAAGAAAATGGTTCATATTGTATTCACTGAATGAATACAAGAAATAGACTGTGGTAATAGTATGCTTGAAATTTTGCTTTGGTGGAAATATTGTGAACCACTTCATACTTCGGAAAGTTAAAAAAAAAGAGCATGTCCTGTATCATGGTACTCTCATCAGTTTAGATTCAGTGTTGTTTTTTTACAATTTCTTGCTTTCCCTGAGTGCTTGAGAACAGTTATTTGCATCAATACTGAATTATTTTATGGGAAGAAACATTTGGAAAACTTGGAATTGGTAAAAAAAAATATTTACAATTAGCTCAAATGCCAGTGTAATGAAAAGTTATGTGGGGCTAAACCAAAAGCTGAAAGACCACTCTACAGTAACAGATTGGACATCCTCTTGCAAAATTTGCTCTGTAGTACTAATATACCTTTCTAAATGTTGTGCCAAGTGAAGATAAATGGAGTGACACTATGTACACCTTTTTGTCATCCCCATCCTCTGACAACATTGACTGTGGCATTTCTTCAATACTCATTAATGGATGAGGCAGGAAAGAAAAGAAGCCATGAAAGAAATGAATTGATTCTTCTAGTTTAAGTTTATATCAGGAAATTTTGGCTATAGTAATATATTTCATGATAAATTCTATATGAAGCAAAACATTAACTATTATTCTCCCATGCTATCAAGTCAACTCTAGGTGTATTGTTTGTGAATAATTTAGTTGCATTGCTTGTTAAAACATGTGCTACTGCATGTCACACTTATGACATGAGGTTCTTCTATGCAGACCAGCATTCTCTCAGATGGAGCATTGTTGCCTCTCTGTGACTTTTAATGTTGTATAGCTCTTCCCTGAAATGTATTTGATCTTTCTACAATACAAAATGACAATATTCAGTGTATAAAGCTGCCAAAGTAATCTAAACTGATATCCATATTTTCCAGATTTGTAGCATTCCAATGACACATTGTTGACTTTGACCACGTGTTTGACATTGTCATAGAATGACCCTGAAGCTTTACTGAAATAATGTATAAGACTGGCAAAAGTTTTTCTTTCAGATATGCCACTAATGGCATATGAAACCTCTACAAGAAAAAAGAGTACTAGAGTGAATTTTTTTTAGTTATAAAACTATCAATGAAACAAAGCAAAAATTAACAAGTAAAAAGTGGTTCCTGCTGGTCCAGTATTACCCTTACTTAAGTTCCCCTGGCCCTCTACTAAATTAGCACTCCTCACCTCAAATAGCAAATTATGACTGATGATATCTTAAAGAACTGGGCCTTTCACAGTATTCATTTTACCATGTAACTCCAAGTGGGATCCAATGAAAATGCACCATCTTGTTTTGAGTCAAGGTGGCTCAGGCTGAATGTAAAAAATGCCTCAAATTGTTGTTAGGATGATAATCCAATCATACACTGACTGCTTGACGATTGCAAGAGCTTTATTTTATGCGTACCTTCCTCAGTTGCCCCTTGCCAGTGGCATAGCCAGGATTTTGCCAAAGGGAGCTAGAATTTCCCTAACCTCCCCCTTAACATAGCCACCCATTAATAACTTGGAGGGGGGAGGCGGGGCAGATCAATTTAGACCAGAGTTAGGGGGCTAGAACCAAACTCTCCTCTTCACTGTACCTTAAATCTGATTGGCAGTGTGATTAATCTTGTAAGTTAGTTTGTAATGCCCTGTGCCTAGATAGGCTGGTAATAATCAGACCCACCTTCTCCCATGAAGCCTAAGAATTTATCCCTAAACTTATGCAAAGGGAGGTTGAGTTGAACATCTCTAATTCCTACCAATGCATTACCAGCTCTTTTTCACTCCACACCTTGGTGCTATTGGATGGATTGGATGATACCTCATCCTATATATGACCCAACATTATCCAGGGATTTCCAATAAGTTTCTCTGAGGATATCTTGATATCAGTAGCTGGCTGCTAGCAGGCAGTCAGTTTTTACTAGCACCTCCCCCTTTTTGGTATTTGCAAAGCTAAGTAAGACAGCACTTAGCTCAAGGAGCAGGGTATGCATGACTTGTCTCTGAAATTCAAGACCTAATGTGTGACTACTCCTAATTGGTTGAAGCTAATGCAATGATCTTTCAAGATGACTTTTAGATGTAAGGGGGGAGTATTGTATCCAATTTTTTTTTTTATGAGATACAGCTTCTGGTTAACTTGCCAATAAAGCCTCCAGTTTTTCTTGTTACACTCTGTGTATGCACAACAGTACCATGCGATTTACCAGTGTTGGAAGGCACTTTCTATATTGTTTCACTCCTGATAAATATTTGTTGGGAGTTGCATACTAATGTGAAGATATACTTTCCTCTTGACTGCTAACTTTCCCCAGGAGTGAGAAAAATAGGGCATATGTGAGTTGCACTGCTGAAAATCTCCAATGTGGAGACCACAAATACCAGAGATCATACTTGAAACTTCCTCACAGTGTTATTGTTTGTTGCGATTTTTCAGTATTACCTTCCAGTCTCTCAGGTACAGAACAAGATCTCTATACCAAACATAACTATTTTTGTGTCAATGCTGCTGAAATATTTTCAAAGCCTTGGCAATTATTCAATGATTGTGATTGTGCATGAGAATGGGAGCAATTATGCATTTCAGGTACCAAACAATAGGCCTTGATGTTATAGGACCTCTTAGGTCTTCACCAGCAAACTAGAAAGGAGTGAGTCTTTTTCATGAGATGCATGAAGGATGAAGACATTTCCATTGTATACTGTTATATAACCAAAGTGCATGGTTCTAAAGAGCATGGAGGATCTGAGACAAATGCTATTTTGGTAGAGAGTCTCCTGGACCATCTCTGAAAACAATTTAATACCCTACATCGCATATTTTATGCAACACTTGCTTGTTACAAAGTCTGTGAAACCCAATTCCAATTCAGCATTCTTGCTGAATTTGATCCCAATTAGTTTATTTCCTGTCTTGATGACAACACATAAGAATTGGTATGGAATGCTTCCATTGTTGACACCTTGATGTATGACCAACTCTTCATGTCTGCTCCTTTGGTATTAAATGTTCTATATACATTTCTGTTCTATGCTGATATAGCTTCTTCTTTAAGCAAAAAGTGACATAAATCTGTGGCATAAATTAACTCTTATGTCTAGTGAATAGAGACTCAGGGTGACATGCACTGGATCCGTTTAAGCTAAACTAATCTGATTTCACAATGGTCCCCTATGGGAATCAGTTTAACAGAGATAAACTTATTCCCATAGATGCCCATTATGAAAACAAATCAGCATAAAGTTAAATGAATCTGGTGTATGTCACCCTAGGTCAACTGACAAAATGATTATGATGGAGTTTAATCACCATAAGAGGTTAAATAATGTATTGTACTACTACAAACTAGAGGCTTTCTATTGAATTCTCACAGTGGTGAATTTTAAGTTTAATTGATTGATCAGTGTGTTTTTGGCTGGTGTCTGTGGCACTGAAGCTTCAAAGCTGTCAGCACAATTGTGAAATAACTTTTTATTTGCCTAAATGTATCATAATTTACTTCAGAAGAAAGGAATTGCTGATTACTGTCTGGAATATCATAGGTTGATGGTGTTGGTTGTTTTGTTATTTGCTACAGAGTGCCTGATGTAGTGGGTGCTTCATAGCTCAATAAATGATCCTAGGTGGCTGTCTGTGTACTAGATGTCTCCCCCAAGAAGGGAAGCCATGCCTATAAAACATAAACAGCATCTTGATGTCAAGGCAGATGCATGTAAAGTTAGCTCTGTTCATGAGCCTTGCATGCAGTCATTTTTGTGCACTTTTTTTTTAATGGTTCATCTTTCTAATACTAGTAATCTTGTAAAATCCCATTTCAAAAGAAAACCTTGCATTCCCCTAAGCTTCTTGAGTGGATATAGTATATTCTTTTTCAGGTCAGTGATTGAAATTTCATGCCTTGATCATGGCTAATTTTGTGTTGGGAAGGTCCCTCCATTTTCTCTTATTCAGTATACAGTACATGAGGACTCTTGCAGGAGTTTCAACAGGGCAATAGAGGATGGAAAGTTCTGTCCTGCCTTCTGTTTCACCACTGATCAGTTTATTTATTTTTTTATGGTGTATTTATTCCTACTTGTTCAACAGTAATTATGATGATCTGTATGATGGTTCAATATGACTTTTTAAAGTGACATTTTTGAGCAGCTTTCTTATCCTGTATATGTTGATTCCAGCTATCCAATTTTGTAACCTACATCTGCAATTGAATCAATAGGAAAATCCCTGATTCCAAAATTGTCATCTCTGTTGATTGCAACATAAACAAGTAGACCATGAAAGCAATCTAGCCATTGAAAATTATGAACACAGACACTGGTGGAGAACTTTTCCAATGATGTAAGTCATGCTTATGCACTTTCCACAACTGGAATTTACATGCTTCGGGAATGTCTTTGAGTTTGTTATGAAAGTATGTTATGATGGAATGTTATTCATTACCTTTAGTCATGTACACCCTTGAACCTAAGAATGGTTATTGATTTATGTGTGTCTGACTTGCATCTTTAAGTTCTAACTCTTCTCCTGAATGGTCTTAGCTATGAATTGAGGTGCATGCAAATTTGTATCCATGTCAGAGTCATGAAATTCCTTATTATTAGTGAACTAATGGAGTGTTGATGTTAGGTAAGGGAATATCCAATATTAGTGTGCCAGCTGGTTGTCACTGAGTTCTTCCTCTTCCCCACAAACTCAAGGCATCCAAACCTACATCCTTCACCCTAACCACCACCAAATTTTTATAGCATGTATTGACCTATTTTGTTTTTAGTATCCATAATGGTAATTTCATAGGAGACATGGAGGCCTGCTACTGCACTGGGTTGCCAGGTCTTATTTTTAGGGCTGCATCTCCCACAAATATCTTTGAATTCATGTTCTAGCAGCCTGGCTCTTGTACATCTAGCATTATATGCTAGTGAATTATTGTACTGGTTTGAAGGATGTCATCATTCATCACTGAAAGATATATTGCTTGACTGCTATGGGGACTCTTGCTCATCAAGCTGCTCAGGAAAATTCAGAAACTTGAGCTATTGTATTGTATATAAACTCTTAGATGATATTTATATGTATTCATTTTATGATGAACATGTGTTTCACCTAAATCATCTGTAATGATAGGTCTACACAAAGACAGCTTGCTTCTAGACTAGGTTTTTCCATTACTATCAAAGGGCCTGCAGTATGACAGGATGATATTGATGATTGAAAAATCTATTAAATTCTAGTTTACTTTACAAGCCCTTTTTCATGAGTTATGGTAAAGATTTGATAAAGTTTAAAGTGATAGCATTCCTGAAGAACTGCTTTGATAGTTCATTCTGGTCATGGAACAAGTTGTAAAACAGTACATAATTTATCAGTGACTCAAACACAAAGAAAAAAGGTGTTCCTGTTCCTTTGAAAACACTTCATCTAGTTGCCATCACTGATTCATAGAGACAATTAAATGTTGTGTTGAGTAGTGACTACCTGGTACCAACTCGCTTTCATGTGATTTTTTTTCTCAAGACCTCCCTTTTTCCACTGATGCAAGAAATTCTGATTGTATCTGGGTATAATTACATCTTGTGCTTATCTGTTATCACTCTGGTGACATCTTAGATATTGTGAAACTTTTTTTCCTATGACCGCATTTATCACTTTTCTCTTCCTTTTCAATACGTCTGTAGTGTCTTATATTTAAAGCAACATGCAGCTTGAAAGGTCCAAGTTAAGGGGACCAAGATCTACTTCTTTCCCACTTGTCTTTACTCAACTGTCAAGAAAGATCATGCACAATATCATAGTTGGAGGCACAACAAAGAAAAGCCATTTCAGTGCCAGGTCCATTTTAAGTGCTTCCCTCAAAACTTCTGCATGAAGACTAATTGTGTTGCTAAGTATTTAATGACTTTCACTGCTTAGAATTACATTGAAAGATTGCATAGATAATACATGTTTGTCTCATCTGTTTTCATTTCATTTCCTCTGTGATATTGGTATCATACCCATTTTAACTTTTTAAGGATATGGGAATTGTCAGAACCTTGTTACATTTCATCTGAGTATGCATGACTTAGTTTTAGGTGTGTTTAGTTTATTGTCATTTTTATTAATTTTCCCCATGAAGTGTTCATTTTTATATGTATTTGGTTCTTCTATGAAGTTTTTATTCTTTGATTAGTGAATACTTCAACTTTGAAATAAAAGTTTCATTGATTTTTCTTTGGCATTTATAATTTTTGGCTAGATGTATGTGAGAAGAGGTATTGATCATGGGAGGAATTGCAACCCACATCTCTTAACACATATTCCCTTACATTTCACCTGAGTATGTATATAGTGGCCATTTTTTCTCATGAACTTTATGTACTGCCCATGCCTTTCAAGAGGAATAAGTGTAATCTGCAATGCTTGTTGTAAGCAGTAAAAGTAACTCTTTCTGACTGAGATGAAAACAGTCAAAAGTGTACAGCAGAAGGAAGGATAAGCCTCTAGCTTTTAATTTTCTTATTGTAGCAGTTTTTACTTTTCATTTTATTTTTTCTTTGACCTGATGCTTCAATAATTTTATTTTGTTTTCTTAACTGTGGCTTCTCATGCTCACACATAGAAGCTACTATTGTGCTAAGCCAAACCAGGACATCACATCTGCAAGTGAGACTTTCTTCTATTTCAAAGTGTAACACCAGTATTTTGTGCAAAGAAGAAGTGTGACGACCATATTGAAATATGACTTTTATTTTCATACTGTTTGCAGACAGTGTCCTATGTTCAGAGCTACGTTTGGTGTGGGAAGACACGAATGGCAGGTACCAAAGTGTACTTCTGTCCTTCCTGTCTCTACTCAACTGCAAAGAAGGACCATGCAGAGCGTCACAGTCGCAAGCACAGCAAAGAGAAGCCATTCAAGTGCTCTGTCTGTGGAAAGTCCTTTGCACGAAATGAACGCCTTCAAAATCATCTTGTCTCCCTGCATTGAGGCATTAGAGTATTGTTATGAACCATGTGTACTTGACAGTGACCTTTCATTGCTATGTTTCACCATTTGTTGAAGCTGTTCCTCTTGGGTCATTCCATCATGCTTCACCCAATTGACTGGCACTACCATCTTGGAATTTTTGTTGCATTTTTTTATTACTAAAATATATTTATGAATAAATTTTATTGCCAAAATTCAAAATTCCTATGCCAAGTAGTTTTCAAGATTTTGAATTTGTACTTTTTTGGGAGGGAACCTAATTTAGGAAAAACAGCCATACTTTTGATTAGCCATAACAACTTATGTTCATGCCTGATATTGATTGACTTTTTTATTTTTTTGTAAGAGGAGGCTCTGACAAGTTATTTTAAGAAAATTAATCTTATTGGTAATAAGGCACTTGTAGCACTTGAGGTACTTAATCTGGTACTGGTAATACTTGGCAAAATGTCACTCATTTGATTATTTACATCTCTTATCTGTATTCAAGGAAAATAAATTTCAGACAGGAGCATCAGGCACAAACCTCTGAAGAAGCAGCATAGGTTGTCTTGTTGCTAACCAGAGAGAGCACTGAAATTTTGAAAATATCAAAATTTTAGGTGGTTGACTATTGCTCATCTCATATATACTTAATGAGGAAGAATGCTAAGTTGTCCTAAATACTCATCTTGATGTGCTTGATCAGTTCTGCAAATTCCAAGCTTGTTCCATGGTGAATATGGGAGATATAGCCCCTTGAAACTGGTCTGATCAATCTAATTACAGGATCTTGTTAAATACATGGCTATTCAAAAGTCATGCCCCATTCAGAATAGCAAACCTTTTCTTTTTGTTTTTAGGTTATGTAAGATAACATTAGCTATATTTGCAGAAGAGCCACTAAGAAACAAGTTGCAAAATAGATATGTGCTTTGCACTCCATAAACTACTTAATGATTACTTTTCATGTCTTTTACAAGTCACCTCATACTTTGTAATCCCACTATGGGCATGGATTTCAAATAGCCATGTATATAGTATATAGCATTCATGTTAATCATTTTCTTCAGGTCTGTTAGAAGGCAAGGTGTTGCATATCAGGGCCTCAGGACATGCATATGATTTGAACCAGATCTGTCTTCCTGCTCTAAGGCATACAAAATTTAGTCATTACCTGTCCTTGTTTTGGCACAACTTTAGGAAGCTTGCAACTGTCATACTAGAGCAGTTCATATTCCATACCATGAAATGCTTCCTGTGTGCTCTGTCAAGGAAACTTAGAATAATTCAGTAGCTCCTCCTGTAATTGATGAATGAATTTGATTGTGCTTACTGTCATAGAAGTTCAATTGATTGATCTTGCTTACAAGAGAAAAACATATTCTCACATTTATGTTTCTCTTATTTTCTTTCCAGTTAACTCTGTTTCAAGAAAATTTTGGTAGATGTTTGTAATGGATTATATTTGCCTCTTTTCATCCTCCCAGGCTGTAGAGACTGCACAAACATCTGGCTTCATATTGGTAGACTGATAACTGCCCCACAATCATTCATTTTTCTTTCTCCGTGTTATCAGGGCCTTCCTCTTAATCTCTTGCCTGACATTATCCTTACCTTTGACAATTGCATCTAGCATCAAGGGAAACATATTCTTCAGTCCTTCTACTAGCTTAGCTACTCTATTGGCCTATTTTTTAAGGATTTTCCCTGTGCCCATAGCCTTGCAAGTGCCATTGCTGAGCACTGTCCTTGTGGAACAAAATAGCAACTCATCAAAGACAGCTAACTTCTTCTGTCACTAGTCTAAATTCCAAGCTGGCACCACTGTTCCAGGTCTCATCAATATGCAGAAGTGTGAGGAAGGTTTTGTATCTTGGAAAAGTCCATAGACTGCAGACATAGTTCTTATTTGCAGGGTCAATATTTCCTAGTACTTGGTAGGGTAGACATCACTTATCTAATTTTAATGCCTCCATCCTGGCACAGCTGGTTCTTCTCTGTGAAAAATGACCTGAGGTTTTACTTGAATCTTGAGCACCTGATTCTTTATCTTGTTCTAAATTATTATGCTGCATTGAGTATTCCCCGATATTCCTGTATTTTGGCTTCTGCACATCAGGAACTTTCCAAATATTGCAGCTGTGCAGCCTTTGTCGGGCCCAGTGACAGCTGCCTAATTAAGTTAGCTTGATCGGCAAAACAGCCTGGGACCATCAGAATATTTCAGACTTCTTAGGAGTGTGCTTCCACATGAGACATACAAGTACATAATTCATACTGATAGTGTGCTAAGTATGATATGAAAACTGATCTGGTTCAAATTATATGTATGATTATATGAAATTATATGTAAAGCTCTGATATGAATTACCTTGCCCCCTAGCAGGCCCTGAATAAAATAAAGTGAATTTTATATACATCTGACAGGACCCTTGGATGAGCTACCTCTACCTGATAAATACCCATGAGAGAGATTTCCCATAGTGACTTGATTTTTCAGTCTCCTCTTTAAAAAAAAGCAGACTAATCAAAATCAGACAGAAACCTTAGAAGTTTTGGTTAATCACATTTTTTGGCTGTTTTTGCCAATTTAGACTACCCCCAAAATGAATAAATTCATATTTGAAAAGCACTAGATATTGGAATTTAAATTTTAGTCATAATATTTTTTTATTATTACCTTTTAGGAAGGAAAAAAAGTATCCAAGATTTTAGTGCCACAGCCAATTGGGTGAACTGGGCTGGAATTGCCTGATTTATTCCTATATTTTTCAACTTATATATTGAAGTGACTCAAGGACTCTTGCTCCAGGTTTTGATGCACTGCTGTTATTACTGTTGTCATTCCTCAAAAAATTTGTATTATATTATTTTAATGCTGAGAGTCATATTCAATAGTAAATCTCATACATGCCTCAAGGGGTCTTACTATTGAGATAGGGTCAAGGTATTGTTTTGCCTAATCTGCCCCTCTCTCTCCTCAGCACAGAAATTCCATCCCCAAACCATAGTTGTAAACACTAGTAACAGAAAGGAAGGCCTTTGAGCTAGTTCCTATTCTGTTCCCTTTCCAAAGTATTTCATGCAGAAATCCACATAGCTCACTATATTTAGCATCATGATGATGAAAATAACTGAGTTTATGTCATCAGTTTCCAATTTCCAAGAGGGGTGAAAGAGTAAATCAAAATGGTCATTTAAAAAAAAAATAATATAAAAGACATGGAAGTACAGATGATATGAAAGCAGGTTTTTAATGGCAATGTCCTTCACCCTTCCCATTAGTCACTTTCAATGCCAAATTCAGCTTGACAGTTGTTCTTTTCACTATGTTTATTTTGCAGTCAAGAAATTAATCACAGATGTCATGGTCTAGTGACTGAGGCTTAATAAAAGTTAAGTCACTGGGTCAGCCAAAAATGGACCTGGACCTATGCATTCTTAGCTACATGCATACTGTTATTGTAACATAAAGCCCAAAAACTGGAGCACTCTTTTGACCTTGATCTTTTTTCAAACATGACTCTAAGTGAGTCTGAAATTTGAAGTATTGCCTGAAGTATCAGCATTTTTTGTTCCTGTTCATTGTGAGGAAATGCCTCAGACATCAGCAGCAACAAATGAAATGTCATACAAGGAAAGGTGACCATGGAAAGGGATCTGAAGACAGGTGACAGGCTTGTATCAAGCAATTATGACAAAGCAACAAGTACTGCTGCAGCAATAGATAACTGGACAACTTGTCGAATTTCCAGTACCCCATTTGAGGTTAAATATGGAGTCTTAGATTCATCTTGCAAGGTTGAGAAAATCCAATAAGAATTTAGTCCCTGGGTTAGCATAGTAATAAAGCATTACATCCACCCAGAATTAGCACAAAAATCATATTAGAAAAGCATTTAGCAGAAATTGGCACTGATACTCATGTAATGATGTTTACAAAGGACTGCAGGATAATTTTTAAAGGATTAAAGGAATATAGGAATAGTTCTAACTGAAGTATTCAGCTGAAGTGAGGAAGGCTTTCTACAGGTTTATCTCCCTTGGGACCTCAGTATCATTGTGGACAAACTCATTTTGCTTCTCATTAGGAACAGCTGAGATCAACTCATGTCCTAGAGATGGCCCCAGGAAACCAAAAATGATCTGATGGAAAACAATTATCCAATATTTTCTATGGATTATCAGTTCTCAATGAATTGTCTTTGATATCTGTGTTGACCAAGGAGAACGTTCTTAGAAAGGGAGCAAGGTTTTGATTCTGGCTCATACACCTTGATGATCTAAGCACTGTTCCTTTTTATGTAAATATCAATCCAAACCAACTGCAACAAAGAGGCAGAATGCTCATTGGTCATGTTTAGTATTGTCACTATGAAAAGGATGCAGAAGAAGCAAATTTTTAAGCATCATATTTTTATCATACCATCTTTGGGGGTGGGGGAGTTGGGAAAGAAGTTGAAACAAACACTGGGTGAAATAAAGAATAGCAATTTCCAATCAGTGCACATCAGGTGTTGGTGGTATTGGGCCTATTACACCATGACCTGCACTGTTAGCAATAAATATGAATTCATATTCCTATGTCATTTTCATGATTGTCCAATAGCACCTATATTTTGAGCATATCATCAAGGGCTGCATTTTGCAGATCAAAACTCCTCTATTATTTTTAATGCAGAAGCAGAGAATGGCAAATTGACTCTTGGAAAAATGCCTGAAGGGAATTTTCAGGTAGGGCATGTGCTAGTTTAATGTTACTGTTAGAGTAAGGTAAATGATTGCTGGCCAATTCTTTCGCAATTGATACCACAGGAAGATCTTGTCCTGCATGTTGATGTGTAGGCCATATCTCCGTAGCATGCCAAGGATTTTCTTGTGGGTTGTATGTATCCCCACATTGTTTCCAGACAGGATCCTTTTTCAGATATACGTATGCTGTGAGAAAATAATGAATTATTTTTGGAGTGGTGACAGCAAAAAAACCATATTCAATCTTTTAATTAAAAAATGATAGATGAAGCCATCTGTCCCTTCTCAACTGCTGTGAAGATCATTTATCAGGCCACTATCAAAAGCAAAACACTTGGGAGCCAGTATTCCCTGTTCTAAGTGCTTCTTAAAAAAATTCAAATTTATTACTGCCTGAGTTATTAAACGCCCCAGTGACCCATGACTGTTTG